CTGGTCAGTGTCTTTACCTGTATAAGGAGGTAAGATTGTGAAAATGGAAAAAAATAAACCAAGATTAAGTTTGATCTCTTTCCTTCTTTGTGTCTCTACCTGAATAAGGAGGGAAGGCAGTTAAAATGGAAAAAATGAACAGAAATTACTTTTGATTCCTTACCTGGTCAATGTCTTCACCTGCATAAGGAGGGCGGGTGGTCAAAATGGAAAAGATAAACCAAAATTAGGTTTGATCTCCTACCTGGTCCGTGTCTTGGGCTGTATAAGGAGGCAAGGTTGTGAAAATGGAAAAATAAACCAAAATTAGTCTTGATCTCTTACCTGGTCAGTGTCTTTACCTGTATAAGGAGGTAAGATTGTGAAAATGGAAAAAAATAAACCAAGATTAAGTTTGATCTCTTTCCTTCTTTGTGTCTCTACCTGAATAAGGAGGGAAGGCAGTTAAAATGGAAAAAATGAACAGAAATTACTTTTGATTCCTTACCTGGTCAATGTCTTCACCTGCATAAGGAGGGCGGGTGGTCAAAATGGAAAAGATAAACCAAAATTAGGTTTGATCTCCTACCTGGTCCGTGTCTTGGGCTGTATAAGGAGGCAAGGTTGTGAAAATGGAAAAATAAACCAAAATTAGTCTTGATCTCTTACCTGGTCAGTGTCTTTACCTGTATAAGGAGGTAAGATTGTGAAAATGGAAAAAAATAAACCAAGATTAAGTTTGATCTCTTTCCTTCTTTGTGTCTCTACCTGAATAAGGAGGGAAGGCAGTTAAAATGGAAAAAATGAACAGAAATTACTTTTGATTCCTTACCTGGTCAATGTCTTCACCTGCATAAGGAGGGCGGGTGGTCAAAATGGAAAAGATAAACCAAAATTAGGTTTGATCTCCTACCTGGTCCGTGTCTTGGGCTGTATAAGGAGGCAAGGTTGTGAAAATGGAAAAATAAACCAAAATTAGTCTTGATCTCTTACCTGGTCAGTGTCTTTACCTGTATAAGGAGGTAAGATTGTGAAAATGGAAAAAAATAAACCAAGATTAAGTTTGATCTCTTTCCTTCTTTGTGTCTCTACCTGAATAAGGAGGGAAGGCAGTTAAAATGGAAAAAATGAACAGAAATTACTTTTGATTCCTTACCTGGTCAATGTCTTCACCTGCATAAGGAGGGCGGGTGGTCAAAATGGAAAAGATAAACCAAAATTAGGTTTGATCTCCTACCTGGTCCGTGTCTTGGGCTGTATAAGGAGGCAAGGTTGTGAAAATGGAAAAATAAACCAAAATTAGTCTTGATCTCTTACCTGGTCAGTGTCTTTACCTGTATAAGGAGGTAAGATTGTGAAAATGGAAAAAAATAAACCAAGATTAAGTTTGATCTCTTTCCTTCTTTGTGTCTCTACCTGAATAAGGAGGGAAGGCAGTTAAAATGGAAAAAATGAACAGAAATTACTTTTGATTCCTTACCTGGTCAATGTCTTCACCTGCATAAGGAGGGCGGGTGGTCAAAATGGAAAAGATAAACCAAAATTAGGTTTGATCTCCTACCTGGGTCTTGTCCTGTGGATCATAAATACTTCTGCATGGGCTTCTGTCTGGCTGTTTTGTTTTTGTTTTTCTTATAAGCTCATAAATGAGAAGTAGTATCTCCAAATGAGCATCCATTAACTATCTTAGTTAATGACATGGAGTTATTTACCTACTCCTTTTTAGGTCAAGAGTCAAGAATGGAATATTAGAAGATGTTGGAGAACTATTTCCCATTCAAAGCACTATTTATGTCACAGATTCAGAAAATGTTACCACTAAAGTAAATCTTTCTTTTTCTCGTCCTGACTTAGGGCACAATCCTAACTAGCCAGGTTGGCCTTAGGCTGGCTGAGCCAAACTCTCACAATTAAGAGGGAGATGCCTGTTAAAGGTACAGAGTGCTATTTTCCGCCAAACCCCTGACCCGCGAGCTCCACCGCTTCGGAGGGAGAAGAGTGCCGGGCAAGGAGAGGGCTCCTCTTCTGGACGCATGGGTGCTTCGGGAGGGCAGGCAGGACCCAGCCCCTACGAGGCGGGGAGGGTCGGTGGCGGAGTTGCTCCTGTGCCTTCCAGGACCAGGGAGACAACCCTGAAGCAGGGCGCTTCTGGGAGCCCCTGATGAGGAAGCCCCGTGTTTACCAAGTAGGTGCTGCTGCTGCTGCTCCCGCTCCCGCTCCCGGTTGGGCTGAAATTAGAAGCCAGGCAGATTCTGAGAGTGGGTGGGCATATCGCACTCGTGCGCATGCACTCAAGTGTGACATACCCCTCCGCAAGCACAACACATCCACCTGAGAGTGTGACACGCCCCTCTGCAAGTGTGACATGCCCCTCTATGAGCATGACACGCCCACCCACGAGCACAGGGGTGCCCCCCCAACCGTCCACGCACAGAGCCCTCATTGAAATTAGAAGCCAGGCAGATTTTGAGAGTGGGTGAGCATGTCGCACTCATGCGCATGCACTCAAGTGTGACACATCCCTCCGCAAGCACAACACATCCACCTGAGAGTGTGACACGCCCCTGTGCAAATGTGACATGCCCTTCTATGAGCATGACACGCCCACCTGCGAGCACAGGAGTGCCTCCACCCCCCCAACCGTCCACGCACAAGCCAGGCAGATTTTGAGAGTGGGTGAGCATGTCGCACTCATGCGCATGCACTCAAGTGTGACACATCCCTCCGCAAGCACAACACATCCACCTGAGAGTGTGACACGCCCCTGTGCAAATGTGACATGCCCTTCTATGAGCATGACACGCCCACCTGCGAGCACAGGAGTGCCTCCACCCCCCCAACCGTCCACGCACAGAGCCCGCACGCCCCAAACGGTCCGTGGTCCCAAAAAGGTTGGGGACCGTTGTTCTAAAGGACCGATATCCCTTTCCACATCCAAACAAAGTAGACCCTGAGTATGTCTAAAAACTTCTAATCTGCTTTTTTGTCCTTCAGTGTTTTATTTCTGCAGAACCTATAAAGCTGATGTTGCATAATATGAGGAATTATATTTTAAGTACTCTGGTTAGAGCTATGTTTGAGTTAAACAAAGTATTATTTCTTTGGTTGTCGTGGGTTTTCCGGGCTGTTTGGCCATGTTCTTAAGGTTTTTTTTCCTAAGGTTTCGCCAGTCTCTGTGGCTGGCACCTTCAGAGGACAGGAGTCAGAACTCTGTCTGTTTCTTAATTTGTTTGTCTATCTATCTGTTTGATCAACTTATATACCACCAATCTGGCTGGTGGCCACTCTGGGCAGTTCAGAACAGAAAAATAACACAAACAAAATCATTCAGTATAATGAAACTCAAATTATAAAATAAAATATGGCAATATCAAACAAAATAAAATACTTTCTAAAATATCTAAATATGATGTACAGTCGGACACACCTGATAGAGTATTGACATAAAAGTATGAAGGGTATGAGCAATGGGAACAGGTGTTCCTATATATGTTTTCTTCCCCAAATCTGATTCCTCCCCCCCCCCATGAACTTATGTTGGGAACATGTATCTAGAGACACAGCCCATGATGCCCAAGTGTAAAGTGTTGGCTTTGGTGTTTAGATTCATGGACCATCTTATCTGGTGTCCACTTATGTGAGCTGTTCAATTTGCTTTTGTAGTCCTGCTGTTCTCTTATTCACCAAGGCTGGAAAGGGACAGGATCTTTTCCGTAGCAGCCCCGGGAGTTTCTCAGAAAATTGGGCTTCTGTTTCTGTTTGAATGGGCAGGGCTTAATTCCTAATTATCTTATTTGCTGCTGCTGAAGTTTTTATATGGCCATATTTTTCATGGTGGGTTGTGTTGGTCTTCCAATTGGTGTTGGTTTTTATAAGCCATGCTGGGAGAGAAGGCCACCAAAGAATCAACAGAACTTTTGGCAAGACTTTTGGCTCATTCTCCCTTGGCTGCTTACCTTTGCCAGCCTGTCTGTCTGCCTGCCTTTCGCAGCAGCTTACTTCCTCTGATTTAGTGCTCTTTTTCTTCTTCACAACCAGGAAGGAAGGAGCCACTTGCAAACTGTGCAGCACTGCTGTGCTGACAAAAATACTGAAAGGGAGGACATGGAAGGGCAGCTAAGGAAGCTGTAGCTAGAAGTGTAAACTGCCACTGGTCTGCTCGGCTAGGAGCAATGGCCATTTGCCCTCGGTGGTAGATGCCAATTTGCATACACTTTGACTAGCAGAGCAGTATTGGCATGAGCATAGTTGCACATAATTTGTGTTGCACTCTGTCCCGTGCTGTTTATGACATTGATATGAGCACAGGAACCTAATGATCAGTAGATTCATGTCTGTCATGGTAGCAGTGGGGGCAGGGAGTCCCCAAATGTTATTTAAACATGCACATGTTTTCTGAATGTATAGGCTGTATGCCTGAGCAGAACAACACTTGAAATGGACAACTTCTAATCTATTCTAGCTTCTGTGGCATGTGATTGCGTACACACACATAGTCCGCAGTTCTAATCAGTGCTTTGATGTAAAAATGGCAGCAGCCTTCTTTTCTGTTCTCACTTCACACACGGTTCACTTTGCGTCTTAGATTTCTTCTGCATTAATCTGTGGAGAACCTTTAGTCTTGATGCAGATGTACTGGATGGCAGCTCCCATAATCTGTTAGTAGAAGTTCAAGACATTTAAACATCCACTTTCCTCACTGTCACCCTGCCTGCTCAAGAGAGAGAGAGATACAGGGGCCAAATCTTCAAAGCATATTTTCCCAACATTGTGTAATTTATTCTTTAAAATATCAATAAAGGTTCCCCCAGAGTTTGGCATGTAAGTGCAAAATTATTTTTAAAGAATTCAGGTTTTTTTTTGTTTTTTTTGTTTTTTGTAAAATTCTGGTATTTTCGCAGATGCTTCAGATTGGTACTGTGCAATTAGTAAATAACTTATAACAAGTAGAGATTTTTAATAATGGCCATTTTTTTCTTGTTCTTTCAAAATATAACATGTGTTTACAAATGTTTCCACAGCAATTGATTCAGCTTTGCAAAAAGAATCCCGAAATCAGACGCCAGCTCCATCTGCAGCTCCAGCACCATCTTCATCGAAGTATCATCGGGCACGTTCCGGGGGAGCCAGAGATGAACGTTATCGGTCTGGTAAGGATGTTACAAATGCGTATGAGAGACAGTGATGTGGTTTATTTGTTTTTCCCCTTACACTCTTAATTTCGGAAAGACTGCGCCCATATAATTCTTAATAGGCCTTTTCAGATACATCTAGAAGAGTTACCTGTAATGATTAAAAAAAAAGAGAGAATGTGTTGACAAAAATTACCTATCCTTAGTCTAGTTAAGACTGCCCTGGAGTGGAACTAGCTGAAGCTGTGGGCCCCTCCCCAAATGGGTGGGTGCATCTCAGGTAGAGATCTTGAGAAAACTTAAAAGGAAATCTGAAAATGCTTCAGCGATGTAGGTTTTTCAGAAACAAATGGAGCAAATTTTAGGCAGAGGTGGACATAGCAAGCAGACTCAGGATGAATAATATAGCAGTTCTGTTTATCTATTAATAAGATTTAAGGATTGTTGTGCCTGTCTAATCAATGCCCTCATACTTTGTCCTCCTATATACCTTTTCAGCCAGCTTCTACCTGCTCCTGGCCTCGCACAGGTGGCTTTCTTGATGGCACTGTTTCTACCAAGGAGCTGTAAGGTATCAGAGGACATAGGATGACTGACTAATCTCCCTGGCTTTCTGGGGAGGATATGATATTTTATCTTAAGAAAAAGACTGTGTACTGTGGGTGGATTGCTCTCCTAACGTTCAGGAGATGTTATGTAAATAACAAAAGCAAGGTCATTCTCATGTCAGTAAGTATTGCCTGTCTACGCTTGTGCCCTGGGATGTTCATATCTATATGCACACTGTAACAGTAGTATTTTAGGCAGGGTAGATAAAAATCAATGATTTAAAAAATGAAACTGATTTAAAGGATTTGTATACAATTGATTTTTTTTCAATTTAAATCATTAAAAAAATCTGGTTTTTAAAAAAGCATTTAAATAAAATCCACCCTGATTTTAGATCTAGATTCTTGTAATGTTCCCTGTCATCTGACTAGCAAGGTCTTATTTTCCCATTTATTGATTATTCCTTCCGATTCTAAGACAGTGGCACTCTTAGTAGCTTTCCTTTTTCCAAACCAATTTCAAATTTAGCCAAAAATTCTGGACATGACATGTATACAGCTGTGCAGACAGCTTTGTAATGGGATATATTGCAAAAGTAATTTAAAAGGTTCTTTTCTTCACTGGCAAGGACCAACTGGATATCTGAAGAAGAATAAAAATGGACCGAACCGAACCACACATGAAGAACAATTTCAAATAAGAGAGTGAGGTTTGCTTGAAAGATAGATAGATAGTCTTGCAAGACAGAGTGCTTTTGGTCTAGTTTATATATGCATGTATTCTTGTTGAAAGCGCAGGTCCACTGGGCCTTTGTGTCTCACAGATACTACAAAACTAATGCTAGGAAATGTATGTAATAATGTTAACGGTGTATGTCAGTGTCAGAACTGAAAGAGATCCAAAGAAATCTTGGTTATTCCAAAGTCTACTAGAGCTTCTTGTTGAGTTCCTGTGCTTCATGGCAGGGGAGACCTCTTTTTTTTTCTACTTCCTTTTTGCCTTTGCAACCTCATGGTTCCTACCTAATTTCCTGTTTGACTTTTGCTGAAACTATTTTAGCAGGATACTGTATACATGCAGTAAAACATCTTAAGTATTTCTTAGTTGTGCTGAGTAGTGACAGTCTGCTGAGCAGTCAGTCTCTATCCTAATAGCAATATATCTACAACTTTGTGAGGTTCTGAATTCAGTATTTTCTAGCCCACATTTTCCTGAACAATTTACAGTACATATCTTTTATGGTTGGCATATAAGCATAAAACCAAGCCTACGTATTATCTTGATTTTCAGATTATAGGTGGGAAAATACATTATGTGCTCTCCCCCTTTTTCAATCTATTGAGGTGCTTTTCTGAAAGCAAACTCTTAGAGAATTTACTATAAGAAGTTAAATGTAAAATATCAAGCATGTCAAATTTGGATGCTTGATACGAAACCCGCTAGGAGGCCTTGGAACAGTCACTGGATCCTATCCTATGCTATCTCACATCACCGTAAGGCTGAAACAGCAATTCTGAGTAAGCTACACCTTACTCAGCAGTATCTCATTTGCTCAAGTCATCTACTATTCTGTTCTCAAGCAACTTTAAGCAATATTCTTGCTGCATTTTCCCAGCACACCACTATCTGCAATGGCAAGATCGGTCACTTGTTATTTGAACCTATAGCTCACCATTTTGTATTTCTGACTTTGTTTGGTTCAGAAGGGAGGGGTCTTTCAGCTACCAACCGGTTTAGATCAATCACAAATGGACCTTACGTTAGAACATTCACGTGTTTTCTCATCTTTCTGGGTATGACAGCCTTATGCCACCATATGTTCCTTCTTCATGTTCTCCAAAAAAAGGAAGTCATTCCTGAAGTATATGACTCATGTTGAGTTGGTTTTTGTTTGTAGCACTCAGTGATTGTACTTGTCCTGATGAGTCATGTTCAGTAGGTGGCACTTACAGTGTGAAATGTGTTATTTTTGCCTGACCTGCTGCAGGCCAATCCCCCTGGGTCCCTGTCAACTTGCTGAAATGGGCCTCCGAAAGTACAGTGCTCAGACTTGTGCAGGCTGCTGCTCTTAAATGCACAAAGCAGTCCTTGGCCTTTGACATCAAAGGAACAGTTGCATTCAGAAAAAGTGCTCATCAGAGCTGCTCTCAATATCAGATTCTTCTAAAAAGATGGGTATAGTCTGGTGATTAGTACAGAAGACAGCTCAAGGTTTATGGCTCATATGATTCACCAACCAAACTTTCTTCTAGTTTCTGTGTGCTTTGTTGTCCTTTTTTCTCCACTACAAGCAGTAGTTGCCTCTTCCCACGCCTCTTATGGGTGGGTTTCTTACAATGGGGAACATTATAAGCCCTCCTAGATATTCTTGGACTGTATTTCCCATAATCCTCATAATCCATTGCCTATGTTGATTAAAGTCAAGAGTGATGGGAACTGAAGTCCAAATAAACATATAAGCTGTTGAACAGTATTCTCTGAGTTCAGTTGCAAAAACTTAAGAAATGTGGAGTTACTTGTAGATGCCTTCCTCACTTAACAAGACTTTCATAGTTAACATTTTCCCAAAGCTGGAGAAATTTCTATACAGTGTGAGTGATACCCCTGTTGTGATTTAAAAAAAACAAACAATAAAAATCTTCTGTTTTTCAATATTAGAGGATGTTTGTTGCAGAGTTTTAAGGACTCTTCCCCTGCAGAGGTACTTCCAGATAATTTTATTGTGGCAATTAATTCCATAATGAGTTGAATCTTGCTTTCTGCGATCCACAGTTTGGTGACTGAACATATCCCTCTTGAAGATGTAGAGAAGTAGATATTTATATATGTTGTGAATAAAAATTGTCTGTGGGTGGTTCATTCTGTAAAATGGAATTTCTTAAGCCTAGACTTGGCTGAAACTTAGTGACATCACTTTTGTGGGGAATTTTGATTTGTAAGACTATTAGGATCTGATGCAGGATGTTTGAATTGTGTGCATTTGGCTTTAATTTATCTCCTTTTTTCTGCATCTATGTTTTTTTAAAAAAAGACATGTGAAAGGAGCATAACAGATACACTGTGGGTATTCACCCGTGAATAATAACTAGAAAATTTCACATTTATTAAAAATGTTATTAATGGGCTGGATACAAAACATCCCTTTTATAAGTAGAAGCGCTTCTTCTGTTTGCATTAGGAACTTGAAATCCACAGGAGACTTCCATGTCAGGAAGGGTAGGGAGGGTCTGTTTTTCCCATTTCCTGCAGCAGGCTCCAATACTGTTCCGTATCGATTCCAGAGGGTCTCCCATTTCTCCAAAGTGGCTTTTCTGGTGTTGGGGTGGGGGCGGGGGAAGGAAACAATGCAAACTCTCCCTCCACTGGGTTTGACTCCAGTAGGTTCATAGAACATTGAATTCATTGAAATGGAAATTTCTATGGAAGAACAGTACAATAATTTTTTTCCAGAAATTCCACCCACCATTACTGGTCAAGGAGCTTCTCAGGTTCCTTGGAATCCACCATGTTTCCACAACCTTTGTCTAAAACCTAGGAAGGCTGCTTCTCTACAGTCTCTCTCTCTCTCTCTCTCTCCCCCTCTCTCTCTGTACAGTATGGGTCCTCTCTCTCTCTCTCTCTCTGTACAGTATGGGTGTGTTTGTTTTAATGCAGATCAGAGCAACCTGAAATATGTGGGTAGTACAGCTTTTGTCAGTTTTGCAATATTTGCAGGTATGCCTGATACCATTTTGTTTAACCTTGCAAAGTGGCTCTGAGCCCAGGATATTTTTTAAATACAGTTATGGAAAGATAATTCATTTCAGGGCACATAGTAATGGCCACCTCTTCTACTTGCGAAATTCTGATGTGCTTTGTGATTTTCTCTCTCTTTTGCCAGACATCCACACAGAAGCGGTCCAAGCAGCCTTGGCAAAACACAAGGAACAGAAGATGGCTTTGCCCATGCCAACAAAAAGACGGTCCACATTTGTACAGTCTCCAGCTGATGCCTGCACCCCTCCAGGTTAGAGATCAACTGGCGTTTGCTCGAGTTTCCCGTAATGATTCTGCTGCCCGCTTCTCTGCGCTTGAGCCATTGTCAGAGGTTTTTTTGCGTTTCAAAATCAATGCATCCAGAAACATTGTCTCCCCAAACACAGGTTGTGCTTTGTTCAATTGGAGTGAAAAGTTGGCCACCTCCCATGAATCTCTGGAACAAAAGATGAATGGTATATATACAGTCGTCATTATTTTGATCTGTAATTTGCTCCCAAAGAAGTTGAAACTTGCATTCAGGAACAGAGAACTAAAACATTTGGGAAATAAAGATACCAGTTCAAGTACTGGGCTGGCTTTGAAAGTCAGAGTTGAGTTCTAGTACAGATAGACAAACAGAGAAAGGGGGGGATCCCCAGAGTTGATTGGCCTCTCTACTATCCTCATCAGAGTTAGCTGGTGGGATTTTCATGGTGGAGAAATGAGCGTACTTTGACATCCATTTTTTAAAAACTGACCATAGCTTTTGAGATTGGCAGTAGGTGAAGTCAGTCAGATGACATTTGCTGCAGATCTGCTGATTTTGTTATCCAGTGTTGAGTATACTTTTTCAGGCTGCAGCAAGAGTGAAGTGAACACTCTGTGTGTAAAAGCAGTTGTATAAACTCATTGTGCATGCAATAGTGCTAGCAACACGTCTCCTGGGCATTGCATTCTTCCTATTTGAGTTTTTAAAAATCTATGTTGAGTTAACAAGCTCTTCATGGTATCAGTGAACACTCCCCTTCTTGCAGGCTCCTGATATAAGAATGATTTAATAATCCTTATTAATGTGCAGAATTTGGGGATACTCATTTCAGTCAGTTTTCTGGGCATTTTATTAACAGGAATTTGAGGTTCATGGTGTCAATCACCTGTTAACTGATAGCCAGATCTCCTTGTCTCTTTAAATCAGTTTGATAGCACTAGTCAACTATCCAGAGTAGAATAGCTGGTTAATGGGGATCTTTGGGGGCATAATTGGTTGGTTATTCTTTCTGTACAAAAAGTAGCAATTCCCCATTTAATCATGAAGTTCACATTACTAGCTCTAGGATATGTTTAAGTTAAATGTACAGCAGGACCCCTTGTATCCATGGGATCAGTATCTGTGGTTTCACTTATCTGGGGTTTGCCACAGCCGTATATACAACATACTGTACAGGGGCACCCCTTGTGGCCTTTGTCCCACCTCCTGGTATGTTGTATATAGGTTTCTCTCATATCTGCGGTTTCAGGCATCCGTGGTAGATCATGGAACTGATCCCACCGAACACAGGGATCCTACTACAGTATATTCAGCAGAGAATGTCTGTGTGGTGGCATTTTTGTTTAAATCTTATACTAACTTGGTTCCTCTATCATGTTGGCAGTCATCCATACTGTGTTTCCCCGAAAATAAGACAGGGTCTTATATTAATTTTTTCTCCAAAAAAAGCAATAGGGCTTATTTTCAGGGGACGTTTTATTTTTTTCATGTACAACAATCTACGTTTATTCAAATGCAGTCATGTCATCTTCTGGTTGCTGCACAGTGGTGGAGGGCAGGCTTTCACTTAACTAGGGCTTATTTTTGGGGTAGGGCTTACATTACGAGCATCCTGAAAAATCATACTAGGGCTTATTTTCAGGTTAGGTCTTATTTTCAGGGAAACAGGGTATGCACCTTATGTTATATATATGGAAGCTAATGTTTCCACTCTCTCCATTCTTTATGTAGCAAACAAGTTTGCATTGTGAACACCAGTGCTCTGTCAGTGTATCCTAAAACAGAAATGCAGGAACAAAGCAGAACATCATATAAGAATTATAGATTGTAATAATGGGGGGAAAGGTCATTGATATTCATTTATATGTGTTGGAGCTAATTTACTTTTCCAGGGTTTCTAGATACACACATTAACTGGTGTTTAAATATATAAAAAATTGTATATGGTATTGATGCTTTGTATACTGGGTGCAGGGCACTTTATGGTATACCCAAAGCCGGTACATATGGATAAATTGTGGGACTCTCCTAAGGTCACAGAACACTTAGTCCCTTTGCTGCTACTCACTGTTCTGGACTCTTGCCTACAATGTTAGATGTTTCCCTGCCCTGTGGATTCAGAATGAACAAGTTTCCCATTTTGGTCTTGTGAAACTGATACCCTTCATTAAACCTGTCATGTCTTCTGGATGATGGTTTGCCTGTACATGTTCAATGTCTTTAAAAAAAACCCAAGCTCTACTGGGAATAGTTAATGAACCTTAATGTTGTCTCTTTCTTCAGATCAAATGCAGGAGACTACACACATCGAGGACACTGATGTTTACAGCATTTAGCACAGTTTGAGGGCTCCCCAGCTCCTTGTGTGTGACCTAATTGTATAGACATTCAGATTCTTTCAGAGGGTTGAATTAATGTCATCTCATTTCTCAGTGTGAGAGACTGAATTCATTCCCTAATGTCATGAGGTTATATTACTTCAGTGTCTCCATTTGTAGGGGTTCTTTGTGTGCTCTGATATTATTCAGTCATGTAGACCAGCACATCAGCAAACTGCCACATGTACAAGAAGGAATCAAATCCAGAAGATATTTTCCCTTTTTTCCTCCCTCCCACCTCCCAGGAATCTGTGTGTATATATTCAAGCCTACATTTTTCCTTAGAACAAAGTAGACTGCACAATGTGCATTAAAAACAAGAGCAGTGGTAATCTCCATGTACCAAATTGGCACACTTAGCTTTGGGAGGGAAGATGTGTTCCAGGTAGGTTGGAAAGATAGCAGAAAACTGAATGCAGGCTTCAGACTGTGACTTGGTTAAAATAATATTATAGTTTTCTGCCATAAGAATGAACTTTAGGATGTCTCAGTTACATATGTTCTTCTCTCTCCTCACTACTTCTTTCCCATCCATGGAAAAGACAAGCTTTTGATTTTAAGCTAATCATTGTTCCCTGTGATGTTTGAACAGGGGGGAAGATGGTGTTTGTTTCAGCTGTGACTAGTGAGAACAGGTCAGTATCAAACCTCAGTTTCAGATCCTGGATTGTTTCTCTTGTTCAATAATGAAACAACACTTCTCTGGTTTCACATGTCAGAGGCAACAATGGTTGGTTTAAATTTTAACATTTAGGCTTTCATATGTCTCAAGGAGAAGGGGATGTGCACAGTTTTGAGGCTTCCTACTCTTCATTCCCATAGCTTCCTAATATGTCTGATCTAAGATGTTGAGAAGAAGATCCTGGATTGTTTCTCTTGTTCAATAATGAAACAACACTTCTCTGGTTTCACATGTCAGAGGCAACAATGGTTGGTTTAAATTTTAACATTTAGGCTTTCATATGTCTCAAGGAGAAGGGGATGTGCACAGTTTTGAGGCTTCCTACTCTTCATTCCCATAGCTTCCTAATATGTCTGATCTAAGATGTTGAGAAGAATATTTATATTTATATTTATTTATTTATTTATTCGATTTATATCCTGCCCATCTGGTCTGGTCGACCACTTACAAGAATTATTCTTGTAGCTCTAATTGCTTTATTCTGTAGGTCAAGGTAAATGTGTGTTTGTTCAAAAGTTTCCCCCCTTTTCTTTAGAACCCTTGGAAGAAGATTATTACTTTTCGTCTTCTGTATTAGACCAGGTGCATTTAATGTAGCCCCTCCCCCAAGACATCCCATAAATATAAAGCTACATTATGTTACTCATCCCCTTCACACTCACTGCCAGTCTTCCAGAGTGCACAAAATGTGATGCAGTATTACACTGGGCACAGAAGTATATTCAGCCCTGCAGACTGGAATGGAAGTACAGTGGTGCATTGACTTACGACCAGAGGGGGGGGGAGGAACCAAAAAACAAAGAATCCCCCCCAGACCAATGACAGCACAGAAACAACCCCCCCAGCTCAAAACCATACTGCAAAAACACCCATAATAGTTTTTAAAAAGCAAAAAACAGCACCTTACCTTACCAGGCAGTCCGAAGCCTCCCTGCAAACACACACACACACTCACTTAGAAGCAGAAGCGAGGCAGTCCCAAGCCTGCTGGGACACACACTCTCTCTAACTGCTGGGGCGAAAGAGCTACAAAGAAGCAGCCTCGTTGCCTCCTACAATTAGTAATTTGAATTTCCCCCCTTTTTCTGTTTGTAAGTGGAATCTCTAGTCTCAAGTAGAAGCAAAATTTTGCAGCCGGAGCTGGTCGTAACTCGAAATTGTCATAAGTAGGAACTTTCGTAAGTTGAGGCGCCACTGTATGTGATGAGCCAGTTGGAAGGCTGCTGTCGGACAATATGCCTTTTGAAAGACAATGAACTGTAATGAAACAGCACTCATATTAGAGAGCCCTAAGTGCATATCTGGTACTAAATCTCAGATTTCACATAGGAAAAAAAGAAACCAAATTAACATTTACAAGTTACTTGGCTATATGGAAGAAAGATCTTGGAATTATTGTAAACAAAAGTTGAAGGAAATGGCAGGGAAAAAGCCAAAGAAAACCAAACCCCCCAAGACCCATCGGAAATGGAGGGGGGAAAGCCAAAAAACAAACCCCCAAGACCCATAGGAAATGGGGGAACTCCCCCCAAAAAGCAACCAGACCCCACAAGACCCATCGGAAATGGGGGATAACCCCAAAAAGCAACCAAACTCCCCAAGACCCATCAGAAACAGGGGGGGTGTTTAGGGTTGGAAGTCAAGCCCAGCCTCCTGAGGAAAGGCTGGAAGAACTAGGCATGTTTGGTCCTGAGAAAAGAAGTCTCAGGGGAGATATGATAGCACTCTTCAAGTATTTAAAAGATGGTTGTCTGGGCAATAGTGCTCAAGCTTGGGTCACCAGATGTTCTTTGACTGTAACTCCCAGAAATCCTGGCCAGCATAGCAAGTGGTGAAGGCTTATGGGAATTGCAGTCCATCTGGGGACATGTACATCTGGGGACCCCAGTTTGAGAACCACTAGTCTAGAGGGGGAGGGCAGGATCTGTTCTCAGTCATTCCATAATAATGGGATTAAGTTGCAGGAAGCCAGATTTCAGTTGAATATCAGGAAAAACTTCCTAACAGTTAGAGCAGTATGATAGTGGAACCAGTTATCTTGGGAGGTGGTGAGTGCTACAGAGCTGGGGTCATTTAAGAGAAAATTGGACAAGCATCTGTCAGATCTGCTTTGATTTGGATTCCTGCCTTGAGCAGGGGGTTGGATTTGATGACCTTACAGGCCCCTTCCAACTCCTTTATTTTATGATTCTTTGATTCTTATCTGGTTATCCTATAGCTGTAGTTTCAAAAAATGACTTTTAACTTAATCACTCTGTTTTCTATACAGTGGTAGGAGTGTTAAGATGATATGGAATGATCCCCACCCAATGATTTGAATGTTTTGGAGCCTATTAATAATCATATATAACACAGAGTATGTTCAGTGAGTCAGGTATTTTCCTAACATTTTATTAATATGGTCCTGCCTAGCTTAGCAGCAGTTTTTTTAAAGGCAGTTGCACTTTTATGTCCAGCAGTATATTATCATCTGCCAGCCCTATGTTCCCTTGCACAGCACTGCCTGCTTCAAGTTTTAATTATTTATATGGCCTCTTTTTTTAGTAGCTGGGTTATATAATCCTGCTGAAGATGCATACGGAATTAACTTTGCAAAGGCTTTTATCAGCTTCGAAGCTTAAACTCTATCACTTTGCTTTTGCGTAGACAAAATGTCAAGCATTTATTTTTGAAGGCTACATTAATTGTGATGTTCCATTTAAGCAAAAGTCTCCCCCCTCCCTCACTTTCTTTACTGTGAATGCTGGCTTGGACAGATCTGAGTCACATGGCTGGAAAATATCTATTGGTTGCCCATCAAGATGTCAGATGAGAGCAGAATGTGTGTGTGTGTGTGTGTGTGTGTGTGTGTGTTTGTGTTTGTGTGAGTGAGTGAGATAGAGAGAGAGACAGAGACAGAGAGAGAGAGAGAGAGAGACCATCCCACTAGCCCTTAGTTTTGTGAGCAGTGGATATTTTTGAACATGCTAGATGATAAATGGTTTTCACAGAATAAGAGTAAATTAGAATATATGACATTCTTAACAAACTAGTGAAGGATCCTCCTGGTCTGGTTGCACCAATTGACCTATTTTCCTGTTACTTCAATCTGTGAATTAACTAGATTCCTATTCTAATTTTGCTCATCAGGGCATTTGTTTTAGTGTCAGTGTTCAGATTTCAAGCACATTTGCATTGCTGGGATGTCTTGATTTATTATCTCAAGAAGGTTGCCATCTCAGTGACTATAGCGATCTAGACCGTTGGAGACCTGGCTTCAAATGCTGATACAACCAACCCTGATGATCACTGGATAACATGCATACATACATGTATGTATGTATGCAGGAGCCTTGTGGCGCAGTGGTTAAACCGCTGTACTGCAGCTAAAACTGTGCTCACGACCTGGGGTTCAAATCCCAGGTAGCCGGCTCAAGGTTGACTCAGCCTTCTATCCTTCCGAGGTCGGTAAAATGAGTACCCAGCTCACTGGGGGTGGGCAGTGTGCAGCCTGCTTAATTAACTTGTAAACCACCCAGAGAGTGCTTGAAGCGCTATGGGGCGGTATATAAGCAGCGCGTTTTTTTTTCTTTACATACATATGTACTTATGTACGTACGTACGTTATTGTTACAGCATCAAGCCATACATAAAACAAAATTGAATGCAGAGCTTCAAGTACTGACATATACTGCAAAAAGCCAAATCAAATAAACAAAAAGCAATAAAACTACAAATATAACAATATAAGACCAATGTCTAAGGGTTTGGCTATCTATTCTGGCTACTATGGCATGCCGCCCAAAATTTCGATCACTTGTTCACCATTCCTCGTTTCTCGTGGGCATGCTCCAAAATGACATTCTGAGGTTAAAACAGGTTCATTTGAACACTTTGGGAGGAAGGGCGCTGTTCAGCTTGGATGATAATGTGTGCCCCCAGTTTCTGGCTTTAAGATCCACCGAGCCAGTTCTGCTTTGGATGACTTTGTCATTTCCAGTAAGATGATGAGTGGCAGTGAAGTGCCCGCTTTCTGTTGTCACCCTCTCTGGAGAACTTTCTGAGGAGTACGTGCTGTGTTACCAGCTTGCCAGGGACACTTAAGGGAGGTGTGGGTGCTAAAAGTCTTGCTAGCTGTTCTTGTGTGGATATTTCCTGATTTATCTGCTGTTTCATTTGTGTTTAATGTATTTACTGTATTTGAATCTGACCCTCTCATTGTCATTATTAGTAGTAACAAAGAGAGCCTTTAGGTTGGAGTGGGCAAACTCAGGGGGTTCCACGGCTGAAAATTCTGCCATTCTTAGTGATGTCCAGGATCAGAAGTAAAGATGTTTTAGGAAGAAAAAACAAACAAACAAACGAGGGGGGGGGACATTTTTCTTAGATGGGAGTTTTGGGATGGACTTGAAGGCCATATGTTGTCCCTCTTTGCTGTAGATAGATAGGTTGGCAGAGCAGAAAGCCTGTTACAGTGACCGCATTTTTGAAGAGAAACAAGATACCTGGTTACCAATCCTTGTGAGTTGTTTTTACCAAAAATGCAGTTTCAAGGAAACGGGAAGTGTGCATGGGGGAGGGGAGAATCCACTTTTGGTTGCTGTCATGAGACTGGAGCCTGGTCATCTGTCTTGGTGATAGTGTGCGACAGTTTCCAGAGGATCTGAAATTAATTCCCAGACACACCAATGCTCTCCATTATGCCAAGGGTTCAGAGCTTGAGTGTGTTCTCTACACAGGCCTAAGACAAGCCCATACAATTATCATGGCCCAAGTGGAGGAGGGAACCAGTTCACTCCAATGCTTATGTTTCCCTTTATTCAGTGGGTACCTTACGCAAGAATGTCAGCACAGATGGAGAGAAGAAGGTGGTTCCATTCCCTTTCTTGCAGGGTTGCTTATAGAAGCAGCGGTGCATTTGAAGAGGGAGGGTTTGTGCTCACATGTGGGCTTTACATATGAGTAAGAGCCTTGAAATATCTGGGTTCTTACTCATACATAGAGACTACACATAAGAAATAACCTCTCTTTTTCAGATTTGTCACTGTTTGCAGGAGCAAAGTGTCAGGGATTGAACAGAGTTAATTTACCTCTCTCTGTCCTGTTAATAGCTCTAGATAAATTAATGACTGAATAGGACTCCTGTTTCTGGATACGAGACTGTAAGAAGGGACTGCTGTTCACCTTTTCAAACTTCTCAGTGCCTTTCCCCCACCTTTTATTAAACTACTTTAAAACAGGTGAATGGCAAATCTAAATGTAACTTAAAAAACCCAATTTGATTAATTGAAGTGTGCAAGAAAGCTGATACTGTTGACACTGGTGGCAGAGAGAAAAGTTTGCCTCTTTTTCATCTTTGGAGTTTCAGAGTTTTAAATTAATTATATTTGTATTTCAGCCCATTTCAATACAAGCACTGGTCTACATTCATGTTAGCCTCACCTAATCTATAAGAAGAAAACAGGAAAATATAATCTGTTTTCTTCGCTCCATAAGATGCACAGACTTTCCACCCCCCTGTTTTGTGGGAAAAAAGTGAGTCTTATGGTGCAAAAAATACAGTATATTTGTATTTCAGCCCACTTCAATACAAGCACTGGTCTACATTCATGTTAGCCTCACCTAATCTATACATTTTTGGGAAATAATGTCATATCCATGTTTGCGTTTGGTGTACCTTTTTTTTTGAGTTTAACAAATAGATGAATTGGTTATTTCCTATTCAACTGTGCACTTACAAGGAGTTTATCATTACTAGGTGTCAAAAGGTTAAGTGTGCAGTGTTTACATGCAAACACGTACACGCGGACAAACACACATAAATAGAAAACCCCAGTGGCACTGTATGGACAGCTGAAGATCTGTTACAGTCACTCTTTATTTGGAACATTTTAGAGTCCCCTGATGTAACCAGGAGCCTGTTCTGTTTTTGTATATATATGAAATATATATTATATATATAAAAAACAGAACAGGCTCCTGGTTACAGGCTCCTACAGACAGACACAATATATAGAGAGACAGATAGACAGAGAAAGAGAGAGAGAGAGACAGGTGTTACTGCGAATGTTCGTTTTATCCACGTCTTCCTGAAAAATCAGTAACTGTAGAACTTGAGAGTTTCCTGGAATATCTCTTCCCAAAACTTTCTTCCAAGATAAGCTGATTCCAATGTTTTCCATTTCAGAATTGCCGGTGGCTGGGGAAAACTGCAGCCAGGTTCCATAGCATGCAAAGAGCAGGGTTGTGACCCAAAAGAATATTACCTATAAGGGATGGACGGGACTGGGTTTCAATTGTTCTCTCCAGCTTTCTTTCCATTATTTGAACACACTCTGCCTGGGTGTTATGGAGCCTTTGCCAGTGTTCCCTTGGTTGCAAAGAGAGCATGTTAAGTGCGGTGTGCTTCCCTTTTCTGATCCCACACAGACACGTCTTCTGCGTCCGAAGATGAAGGGTCGCTCAGGCGCCAGGCTGCTCTATCTGCTGCATTGCATCAGAGCTTACAGAATGCTGAGTCATGGATCAACCGATCTATTCAGGGGTCATCCACATCTTCATCAGCATCTTCTACACTATCCCATGGAGAAGGCAAAGGGACCAGTGGGTCACTAGCTGATGTATTTGCCAGTACTCGAATAGGTAGGAGCTGGGTCTGTGGGCAGCAAAACTAAGCACTGCAAGTTGTCTTCTTTTTTTTTGGTAAACATTTAGAAATCTTCCAATGCCCAAAGGTCACATTTATTTGCAGAGTTTGCTCACTGTAAATAGAGAGCTACCAGGGGTGAGCATGGCCCCAGAAACGTGGAGGCACCAATAGGAAGAAGACGACCTGTTGAGAAGGGGAGGGGGTGAGAAAGAAAGACTCCCCTAGACATAATTGTTTTGGAGGATGTGAAGAACAGCCTGGCACTTTTCTTTATGGCCATTGCTATTGCTTACCCTTGTAGCTGCTATTTGCCTTAGGTGTTCTCACTGCTGATTGCGTGGAATAAATCTCTGTAGCCTCATGTATTATGTTGTGTTGCAGACGTCTGTCCCTTAACCAACCAGAAGAATTGCACAGGTTCTTTTAAGTTGCCTCTCCAGCAAGTACTGTAACGAGCTCTTGCCGTATCCTACTTAATGGCCTACCTGGTAGGGTCTGCAGGGGAGGAAGAAGGAATGTCACTGTCTTGTTACCTGGAAGAGATTTCACTCTTCCTAGATGATTATATGAGTGGCTATAGAGAAGCACATTGCTTTCCTTGAACTCCCCCAACCTGTAGACCAAGGATTAGCTCCTGTCTCTTCCCAGCAGAGTAACACATTATGGCTAAATTCAGTTGCTATTCCCAGCTAGAGTACACTCATTGGAGTACACAATAAAATGTGGTAGCTGGTGCATTAGATTTACTCTAGTTGGCCCTAGCATTTTGGATTTAGGTCTGTGTAGCTTTCTGAAGACCTGAACCATCATCTCCTCTACTCAGTGGTACACATTGGAGTGGGAATTTAAAGATCTGGATACCCCAGGCTCAGTTTTTTGGTGCTCTGAGGTGCTCCCTGCTGCTGGTGCTGCTGTATGACATTTTTGTAAGGTTTGTTTGGCTCCATTGTGTGTGTTCTTTTGTTCAGTGTGTTCCAAAGGATACTGCTGCATCCCAGGGGAATGTCTCTGTGTGCTCTCTCTGCTTTGGCTTAATTGGTTTCAGGCAAGCAGTGTGTTAGATGTTTGGTGTCTCTAAATTGCTTCTTTTTCTTTCTTTTAACCTGTATGTTGCTGGTGTCTTCGTCTCTTACTGGGATGCAACTCATCTTCTAAAATGGAAAACTTGGGAGATTTACCAATTTAATATACCAATACCATGACTATTGTTTTCTTCAAAAAAGAGATTCCTATTAACCAGAAATAAAAGGAAAAATACGTTCTCAAATTGGAATTGCCTGCGATTCAGTAATGTCAGATTGGTGCTATAAAATGCATCTCTTTCTTATAATAAAACCTTGAGAATATTAAGCATGGTTAAATTAAGGATGACGTTTCCACTAGTACCACGGCATTTTCAATATATGGACATTGATCACCATGTAGAAACAAAGGGCTCCCTCTAAAATTGTAGGGAATTCAACATTTTTAAAACATAGGCATGGTTAGACAAAACACAGTAGATTTGTATTTTATTCATCTAAAATTTATGTGCATGGGGCAAATAGGCAGTTCAGTGAATAGAGGGCCTTTAATCAACTATATAGTCACTAGCCCCTTCACGGATTGCTGCCTTGTTGTGGCGAAGGGGCTTGAGTAACTCAGAGAAGCTATGGGCTATGCCGTGCAGGGACACCCAAGACGGACAGGACATAGTGGAGAGTTCTGACTAAATGTGATCCACCTGAAGCAGGAACTGGCAAGCCACTCCAGTATCTTTGCCAAGAAAACCCGATGAACAGAAACAAAAGGCTAAAACATATGACATTGGAAGATGAGCCCCTCAGGTTGGAAGGCATCCAATATGCTACTAGGAAGAGCAGAGGTCAAGGACAAGTAGTTCCAGAGCTAATGAAGTGGTTGGCCCAAAGCTAAAAGGACGCTCAGCTGTGGATACGCCTGAAAGTGAAAGCAAAGTCCGATGCTGCAAAGAAAAATACAGCATAGAAACCTGGAATGTAAGCTGGGTGTGGTAAAACAGGAGATGGCAAGAATAAACATCGACATCCTGGGCGTCAGTGAACTAAAATGGACGGGAATGGGCGAATTCAGTTCAGATGATTATCATCTCTACTATTGTGGGCAAGAAGCCCGTAGAAGAAATGGAGTAGCCATCATAGTCAACAAAAGAGTGGGAAAAGCTGTACTGGGATACAATCTCAAAAATGATAGAATGATTTCAATACGAATGCAAGGCAGACCTTTCAACATCACATTAATCCAAGTTTATGCACCAACCACCAATGCTGAAGAGGCTGAAACTGACCAATTCTATGAAGACTTACCACACGTTCTAGAACTGACACCAAAGAAAGATGCTCTTTTGGATATAGGGGACTGGAAGTCTAAAGGGAGTCAAGAGATAAAAGGAACACCAGATAGGTTTGGCCTTGGAGTTCAAAACGAAGCAGGGCAAAGACTAATAGAGTTTTGTCAAGAGAACAAGCTGGTCATCACACTCTTTTCCAACAACACAAGAGGCGACTCTACACATGGATATCACCAGATGGACAATACCGAAATCACATTGATTATGTTCTCTGCAGCCAAAGATGGAGAAGCTCTATACAGTCAGCAAAAACAATACCTGGACCTGATTATGACTCTGATTATCAGCTTCTTATAGCAAAATTCAATCTTAAAATGAAGAAAGTAGGAAAAACCACTGGGCTACTCAGGTATAATCTAAACCTAATCCCTTATGAATACACAGTGGAAGTAAAAAACAGATTTAACGAACTCGATTTGGTGGACAGAGCGCCTGAAGAACTTTAGATAGAGCCTCGTAACATTGTACAGAAGGCAGCAACAAAAACCATCCCAAAGAAAAGGAAATGCAAGAAAGCAAAGTGACTGTCCAATGAGGCCTTAGAAACAGCAGAGAAGAGAAGGGAAACAAAATGCAAGGGAGATAGGGAAAGCTTCAGAAAATTGAATGCAGATTTTCAAAGAATAGCAAGGAGAGACAAGAGGGCCTTCTTAAATGAACAGTGCAAAGATATAGAGGAAAATAATAGAAAGGGAAAAACCAGAGATCGGTTCAAGAAAATTGGAGATATTAGAGGAACATTTTGTGCAAAGATGGACATGATAAAGGACACAGATGGTACGTACCTAACAGAAGCAGAAGACATCAAGAAGAGGTGGCAAG